GATTTGTTTTTTTTTGTACAAAGACATATGTAGGCAATTTTCCATATTATTAAGTAAATGCCAGTTTTGTAGCTGTACTGGAACAGCTTGTGCTCCAAACTAGCCCTACCCTTAGCCAAATCCTCAGTATTATTGCCAGAATATTGTCAGGGCTCACAGACTTTGAAGAATCTGGTGTCCTTTGCCATTTCTTGATATCATGTGAAATGAATTTGAGTGGTTGAAGACTGGCATCTGTGATATTGGAAACCTCAGGAGATTGGCAAGATGGATCATTCACTCATTCTTTCGCTAAAGATGGATACACATACTTCAACCTCATCTTTCCAAGCACTGCACTCCCTCATCATTAAAGGTAGGCATATTTATGGAGCTTCCACCTCCTCCAGCGAGTCATTTAATTGTTGACTTCAATTCAACTTGATGTAGGAGGACTTCAGAGCTTAGATCTCGTCTGTTGGTTGTGAGATTGCTTATCTCTATTACTTACTACTTCTGCTGTTTGGCATGCAAGTAGTTGTGTGTCGTAGCTTCACCAAGTTAACTTCTCATTTTGGGTATGTCTGGTGCTGCTTCTGGCATACTTTACTGCACTCTTCATTGAATCAGAATTGATGTCCTGGCTTGGTGATAATGGTACAGTGGGAGATATACCAGGGCATGAGGTTACAGGTTTTGGTCAAATATAATTTTGCTACTGGTCCACAGTACTTCACGGATGCCCAGAATTGAGTTACTAGATCTGCTCAAAATATGCTTCATTTAGCACTGTGGCTGTGGCACAACACAATGGAGGATAGTCTCATGGTGAAGACAGGACTTGGTATCTACATAGATTGCTCAGTCTTTACAGATATTGTTATGGACAGAAGCATCTGCAGCCCATAGATAAGCAAAAATCTACTTTACCTAGTCTTTACCAATTGCTATTATCTTATTGTTTTAGTTTGCTTCAACAATATTTCAGTCAGTAGTATTGTTGCATCCAAGTTAGAGGTAAAGGAATTAAGTCCTAGTGCAAGAACCTGAGCATAAAATCTTGGCTGATATTTCACTTGCGAGATTGAAGGAGTGCTACACTGCTGAAGATGCCATCTTTCAGCTTTCATTTTATTATTTGTAGGACTTTGCTGTATGTTAAACTGACTATCAAATTTTCTGCATCACAACAAAGCCTACTCTTCAAAGCATTTTGAAATGTTGTACTATGTAAGTACAACTCAAAACAATCTGTTAGGCTGACCAAGTTGAAGAGAAGTGACTCTGTAGGTTTAACAATGTGATTCACAGCAAAGACCGATGGTCTAAAACTACTTTATCCAGTCTGACACAGAGCTACCATCAGTGGACAATTGTGAAGTTCAATATTTTGTAGAACACTTCATTTCTACAATTAACAAGGCTGTTTTTTTTTTAAAATGAAAGACAGTTTTATTTAGAATTTAAATAACTTACAGATTACTGATCAATTATGAAGGTACATAATACATGAATATAAAATACAATAAATCTACAGGGAGAAATTATTTAACAACAGTATAGAATCTGAAATGTTGATCAATAACAGCTGAAAAAAAAGTTAGAGAAAAGTCAAAGAGAAGGACAAAAACAACCAATGAACAAGAAGCTAAATCTTCTCAGGAAAAATATCCCCACAGAAACGTGCAAATTTGGTGGTAGTGGTGGTGAGGGTGGTAGTGGGGAGGGAAGGGGGAGACGGAGGGGACGTTTAAAAATTGGCTGTTAAGCACAGAGATACCAGTTTTCATAAGGGGATCAAAGTGCACCAACATTTCAAGTCATTACGGCCAATCAAACCATGGCTACTTTTGACCACACACGTCTAAATTAGCTTGGCAAATTCAGCACAGAAAAAGAAGTTGCCACAATCATCAAACAAAATTAGAAATTTCCGGAGGAACTGCAAGTTTGGCAGTATCTGTGGAGAGAAAACAGTTAACGTTTCAAGGATAGTGACACTTCTTTTGAACTGTTCTGAAGAAGGATCTTGAAACACTAACTCCCTTTTCTCTCCACAGATGCTGCCAGGTTTGCTAAGTTTCTCCAGCAATTTCTGCTTTTGTTTGTTTCAGATCTTCAGTTCTTTGTTTTATTTTTGCCTTAGTCATAGTTAGATAGCTGACAACTTAAGCACCTCATATTACACAAAGTAAGCGGCTTAAGCACACAGAAGGAACAATTGCTAAGTCAGTAGAATCTGGACTTTGTTCTCAGGACTTTACCATAACACATTATGTTAAGACAAAGTAATTAGCCATAGGTAATGAAGAATCATAGCATCTCTCTCTTCATACACAGAGAGAGATAGAGAAAGAGAGAGAGAGAGACAGACAGACAATTGGTTTGAGATAGCTTGAGGCACACCACTATTCTAGCATGGGGCATGATGATGAGAGGGGGCTGCATGAACTATAATAGCTGGTACAGGGATCAAGTCAGTATTACTGGCATCATTCTGCAACTCTTTCTAGCCATATAGTCAGGTGAACTAACCAACCCCCAAATCTCATTATAATTTCATAGGAGGTGGGAACCACACCAAAAATGTGACCCTCGATCAAGGTATACTAGTAAATTAGCCTTAAACAACTGTATGCAAGTACAAGGAGGCCTAAGCAAAGGTTTGAAATGCAATTGTTTCTCTGATTCCCCTGCACAGTTTTGCAAAAACCATGCCTATTTCCAGATTCCATTATCCAGGCAACAGAGCAGACTTTTAATTTATTTTCAGTTTTTTTTAAAGACGTCATGTCAACTTCATCAATCATCAGGAGAGATAAAAGCAACTGGAGCTTGCATTAATAACTGGCATAAAATGTGCTATATGACCAAACTACCCACCATTACAAATCTAATGTTTTATATATTTCAGGACAGAAGATAGACAGAATTTCCAGTTTCTCAATCCAACCATGAATTGTACAGGCATTGAGCTGGCAATTGAACAGCATTTTGGGCATTAGCAGAATTCTTCAACTTGCAAGCAAAGAACCAGCAAAAAGAAAATCTTGCTGCAGAAACCAGCTTTTGTGGTTGACAAATGCCAATTCATAATGCCAGCTGGAAGCACCAAATGGCAGTGAGGACACACCTGCAGTTATTTGAAATGTGCATTTGAATTTAATGATTGAGGCTGGACTAGTTGAAAGCAACATTTGATACAGATAACCTAAACAACCAGCTTGTTCACTGATTAGAGCTTTGAAATGCTGCGCAGTGGTTGTTTGTATAAAATAAAGCAGGTTTTAAAGACTATACTTCTATGTCTGATTTAGATGTGAGTTATTAAACTCCAATGTTTGAACAGTCTTTGAATTTGAGTTTTCAGCTAAGCGGCCTACAATTCTACTTTACCCATAATTAATATCAAGCACATGCCTGATATTGCAGTGATACTTAACTTAAGCTCAACTTCACAAATACTTAATCTAATTCTGAGTTGAGAATCCTGCGATTTAGAGCTAATCTCAGATTTGTACTCTCAAACAAGCGTGAGGGTCAGTGGTTCGCAAAATTTAAATTTGTATTGTTTAAATTGTTCAAGTATATTATTAGATTAAGAAAGTGTTAGATAAAGGTTAAACAACGAAAAAGACATACCTTTTTACATAATTTATGATCATTTTACGTGACGTAAAGCTATATACAAATATCACATTCAAATACAAAGAATACTTCATTAAATATTATTTGTATAGTGCAAATTTCATTTAAAAAAACACCAAATTTAAATGTTTACTGTTAGTGCGAATATTTCAATCTTAATTTGTTAATTCATTATCAAAAAAGTTCATTATTGAGAGTGATGAGATTTCCAGGAACCAGATGATGACCTATACAAATGATACAATTGTGAGAAAATGTTTTAAAAAGTCTACTACAAAATGTTAAATCTCAAATGTTTGAACAACTTCAGAAAATTAAGTAATTACAATGTTAAAAAGAAAAATCTCTAATTCTAACCAGTCTTTTAAAAAATTCCATATACTTTAAGTTAGGCAACTTCTGACATTAAAGAGTGCTAATATGGTCCACCTGTCTACATGTGCCATGGCTTAATTGCAAATATTCTCATGTTGGCGTTACAGGATTGCAGATTCAAGTCTAATTCTAGAAGCTTAAGCACAAACTTTACTCTGAAAACCTAATACAGTTACTAAAGAGCTGCTGCACTACAAGAAGGTATCATCTTTCAGACCACGTATTGAACAAAGGCTCCATACACCTTCTCATATTGCTAGTGCTTTGCTATGTGCAAATTGGATCATTTTCTATATTAACACATTGCCTAAAATACTTAATTGACTGTATGTAAAGCCCTTTTGAATATTCAAGTCTTGTGTAAAGTGTTACAACAAATCAAACATTTTCAATGTTATTCCATGTTAGCTTGACAGGCAATATACCTATTAGAACCATCATTTTCAATATACATTTAGCGTAATTTTTAATTTTCAATCTACAAAATCACCAACTCATCTTTAAATGTTAAAAAAGTGGAGATTTTAATTCAAAAATGATAATGGAAAAATTGTCACATCAACGACTAGGTTTATTTTGACATTCAAACTCAATATAGCAGTTATTTACAATTTCTAGGCATTTTGACAATAAACAACACATTTATTGACAATCTCAACGGCAAATCTCATTTTTGAGTCCCGACTAATATATGTTTTAGTCATTTGGAAAACAATTTTCCAAGCCTAACCTCTACCCAGGCTGCTGACATATACATCTTGCATTGAAAGATCTTTGGAAAGCAGAAGATTTCATCTTTAGTCCATCTCATACATGTCTCCAATGAGAATTAACTTGGAATTTTTTATGGTATCTTTCACTCCTATGTCACCTATTATCATGCTTAAGATGGGCTTCTTGTACACAGATGACCAGGAAAATATCTAATGCAACAACTAATAAGATAACTACTGTACTAGTCCAGCATTCTTCCAAAAGACATTACAGGTACTACTTACCCTGGATAAGGCGGTGGAGGTGCATCATATTGTCCAGTTGCCACAAGTGCCTGTTCATAGGAAGGTAGAGCTGTCTCTGGATCTGTAGTAAAGGACACAGGATTCATGGAGGTTTCCTCAATCCGCCTGATAAAACAAGGGAATTGTTAAGCCCTCAAAAGCGAACATAGTGGCCTCTCAGTTCACTGGTCCTGAACTGTTTTCTACAGGAATGGAGCAGTCACTGCATATATAGAAACGTGCACTTTCAGACAAAAGCTCAGGTTCAACAATACTGCAAAGACAAGTAATACAGAAATGAAAAATTGATTAACAAAAGGTAAAAAATAATTAAAATCTGTCATAATGCTGGGCCAACCAGGCACAACTAAGGAGAAGCGACTCATGAAAATCTGGGTTTATATTATTTCTAGCCATTTGCCACAGCAAGTTAGGATTTCTATCACATACAGTAAAAATTAAACATTTATAGAAGGTGCTAATGATACAATATACGTACAAGTCTCAACCCTCACAAAAATAATCATAAGCATTATTGGGCCATATATACCACACTTAACTAATTCTAAACAGGTTGGTTTGACTAAATATTGACCCAGATTTTTCTGTCAGCAATGCATTGATGTTCGATGCTGACTGTACAAAGAAAATCTAACTGGCACATAAGGCTCTATTGCAAGATAGGACATTTATTCAACAGCCTATGTCAGGGCAAAAAGCAAGAAATGATGAATTGTGATGTCATTATCGATTGTAGTTTCGTCAGCAATCAGAATAATCAGAGGTCAGTTTTATGCTGATATACAGATTCATACATTTTTAGAAAAGATTTGAAATAGTTTAAAAAGTTTGAAGGTTTTTAAAACTGTCAAACATGTAAATAATTCTAATACTTATTTTTTAATGCAATGTCTGGCAGGGTCGCTTCCTCAGCTATCAATGTCACTTGATAGCTACCTGATTCACTGGTTTGCTCCACCCCCCGCCCACCTCACCCAACCCTAAAACTTTTTTTCTCTCAGCATTACTGAAATTCAAAACAGCACACGAACAGAAAAAATTCTTCAATTACTAGCTGCTGTTGCTTTAAGGATTAGAACGGCAACACCATCAGGGCAGGCTTCCCCTCAATAGCTTATGGATTTTATAGTCTATATATAGTCAAATTGTTGAAGGTTCGTTGTTGCTATTGTGCTGATCAATAGGAGCAAGCTTCTCAACATCCACTGCTATCGAGAAAGGAAGTATGAGCAATTATTGCAAAATACAGTGTGCAAAACACTGCACAAAATTATAGAAATTGCTTAAAGTAAATTTGATTTGATAAAAGTCACAATTGTTGAGCTGAGTTTAAAGATATTTTTAAGATGGTGTGAAAACCAAATGTTGTTTTAGAACTGAGCAGTTCGTAACATCACTTCAGGTCTACTGTGAGATGGAGCTGATAATTAGGTTCAAAGCCACTTTGATACACAGAACAAGACCAGTATAAGATATCATCCCTTTATAATTTATTGCCTACACAAGTTACTTAGGGGAAAATTATATTGAGACATGTTGTCGAGCAAGATCAAAATATTTTACTCACTACAAGTAAATCAAAACTCTGCAGGCCAATAATCTGAATATAAAATAGGAACTCCGGCAACAAGATAATTGTACCCTTTTGATGTTCTCTGTTCCTTGTGGTTTTCTTGTCACAGAATTCAACAATGGCAAACAATCTCACTTTAGGTTGTTTGTCAAGCTGCCTGTAACCACTTGAGGTTAAAAGTTAACATGCTTTCTATAGGCAGAAATTGATTTCCTCAGGTTACAACTTTCAATTTCAGTGTTCAATTCCATCAAAGTTTATTTTCCCAGTCCCTATTTCGATCATGCGACTGAACAGCTTGCCTGGAGGTTTTCATAAGGAATGAAGGGTGAACCCTATCAGAAAGTTGCAAATGTAAGACCGGAAGACCTAAGAGAATAAGCACTAGGAGCAGAAGTAGACCATTCAGCACGCTGAATGGTGGAAAAGACTCAATGAGATCACATGGTTGATCTAAAGATCCTCAACTTCACTTTCCTGTCTTTTCCCCATAAATCTTACAATACTAATTAAAAAATCTGTCTATCTCAACCTCAAATATACCTAATAAGCCAGCCTCTACAGACCTTTGTAGTAAAGACTTGAATTTATACAGAACTTTTCACAATCAATTTATGTCACAAAGCATTTTACAGCCATTGAAATACAAGCATAATAACTAATTTTAAAAAATTCATCCATGGAATGTGGACATCATCAGCAGGGCCAGCAGTTATTGTCTATCATTACTGCCCCTGAGAGGGGTGGCTCATAACCTTAAAATTATAGTTTGCAAGATAGCTGCAACGTATAAGACGGCCTCCCTTTATGCTGTAACCAAAGTACCCTTTCACACAAATAATAATGTAAATCAAAGAATCGCACCCAGTCGGATACACGTGCTGGTAGACAATTGTTCTTCACCTCACTGGGATATCTCTTTGTCATGAATCATGAACTATTTTCTTTAACATCTTTTCTGAAGTCCTTTCCCAGCCAACTCTACCTTTATTCCTTTATAATTACTCTTATAAAAGTGTATACTCTTATAGCACAGTTGTTTCAGACTCAAGTTTCTCACCCTCAAATGGAATATTATGGTAACTATTTCATCGGATACTTTAATCTGAAATAATTCATTAAACCCGTTTCATTACACATAACCAGATCCAAAATAGCCTGATCCCTGGATCAATACACACACACTGTTCTTGGAAATTATCCTAAATACACTACGAATTCTTTATTTCCACTTCTGCCAATTTATATTTCCAGTCTACAGAAATTAAAGTTACAGGTAATTAATGCATTGTCTTTTTTTTTAAAAACACACCTTCTGTTCCCTGATTCTTTATCTGTCCTATAACGTAGATCCTGTCAGAGTCCTGTCGACTACTCTCACCAGTGTCTTCTTCCCTTTTGTTATTTATTACTTTCATCCATATGGATTCTACATATTCCAACAAATGATCATTTTTTTCTATTGCACTAATTCTATTTCATATTAAAAACCCACCCCACCACATTTTCCTTCCTGCCCGTCCTTTTGAAAAGGCACATACTCTTGAATATTTACAACCAAGCTTTTATCTCCTTGTAATGGTTGTAAGATCATAACCATTCACCTCTATTCGTGCCATAAATTCTATAAGTATATTAAGGACGAAAGAGCAACTAGGGAGAGAATAGGGCTCCTTAAAGATCAACATAGCCACCTATGTGTGGAACCACAAGAGATGGGTGAGAAACTAACCGACTATTTCACATTAAATACTTTCTGTGGAGAAGGACTTGGAAGCAAGGGAACTTGGGGAAAATAAATCGTAATTTCTTGAAAATTCATATTACAGAAGATAAAGTGCTCGTCGTCTTAAAACAAAGGTAGATAAATTCCCAGAACCTGATCAGGTGTTTCCAAGAACTCTGTGGGAAGCTAGTTAAGAGATTGCTTGGCCCCTTGCTAAGATGTTTGTATCGTCGACAGCCATGGGTGAGGTGCTGGAAGACTGGAGGTTGGCTAATGTTGTGCCATTAGCTGTAAGGAAAAGCCAATTCTTTATCCAATTGACTAGCTCACCCCGGATTCTTTGTGATATAACCTTACTAACCAGCCTGCCATGTGGAACCTTATTGAATGCTTTGCTGAAGTCAATATAGACAATGTCTATCGCTCTGCCATCATCAATCATCTTTGTCATCTTTTCAAAAAACTCAATCAAGTTAGCGAGTTGTGTATAGACCAGTGAGCCTTGTGTCAGTGCTGGGTATGTTGTTGGAGGGATTCTGAGGGACAGGATTTATATGCATTTGGAAAGGTAAGGACTGACTAGGGATAGTTAACATGGCTTTGTGTGTGGGAAATCACAACTCACTAACTTGATTGAGTTTTTTGAAAAGATGACAAAGATGATTGATGATGGCAGAGCGATAGACATTGTCTATGTTGACTTCAGCAAAGCATTCAATAAGGTTCCACATGGCAGGCTGGTTAGTAAGGTTATATCACAAAGAATCCGGGGTGACCTAGTCAATTGGATAAAGAATTGGCTTGAAGGTAGGAGACAGACAGCAGTGGTAGAGGATTGCTTTTCAGACTGGAGGCCTGTGAACAGTGGTGCGCCACAAGGATCAGTGCTGGGTCCGCTGCTTTTTGCCATTTATAGAAATGATTTGGATGTGAATATAGGAGGCATGGTTAATAAGTTTGCAGATGGCATTGAAATAGTTGGTGAAGTGGTCATTGAAGAAGATTATCACAGCTTACACCAGGACCTTGATCAGATGGGCTAATGGGCCGAGGAATGGCAGAGGAGTTTAATTTAGATAAATGAGAGATGTTGCATTTTGGGAAAGTAAACCAGGGCACGACTTGTACACTTAATGGTAGGGCCGTGGGGAGTGTTGCCAAGCTAAGAGATCTGGGGTTCAGGTGCACAGTTCCTTGGAAGTGGAGTTGCAGATAGACAAGGTGTGAATCATCTGGCACACTTGCCTTCATTGGTCAGTAACTGAGTAAAAGAGTCAAGATATCATGTTGCGGCTGTATAGGACATTTTAGAATACTGTGCACAATTCTGGTCATCCTTCTTAGGAAGGATGTTGTTAAACCTGAGACAATGCAGAAAATATTTACAAAGAATGTTGCTGGGACTGGAGGGTTTGAATTATAGGGAGAGGCTGAAAAGGCTGTGTTTCTTCCCCCCAAGAGTGATGGGAGTTGAGGGGTGACCTTTTAGAGGTTTACAAAATCCTCAAAGGCATGGATAGGGTGAATAGCCAAGGTCTTTCTCTTAGGGTGGGGGAGTCCAAATCTAGAGGGCATTAGTGTAAGGGGAAAGATTTAAAAAAGGACCCAAGGGGTAACTTTTCCCTCTCAGAGGAAGTGGTGAAGGCGGGTACAATTACAACATTTAAAAGGCATCTATATGGGTATATGAATGGGAAGGGATTAGAGGGATATGGGCCAAATGCTAGAAAATGGGACAAGGTCAGATTGGGATGTCTAGTCAGAGCAGACAGGTTGGACTGAAGGATCTGTTTCATTGCCGCATGATTATAATTCATTTAGTTTGTTCAGAATACTATGTACATTTCAGAAAGAGTTGTTAATTTTGCCACTCTTTTCCCTTTTTGACACCATTTTTGAAAAAAATGTTTGTACACACTGGCATTTTCCTGTCCTACTCTAGGTATCATCACTTAAATAGCTACTCTGCAATGCCCCCACATCCTTTTGTTTTGTAAACCTACACATTCTCTCATTAATTTAAAGCCCTCACTACTGCCCTAATTATTTGATTCACCAGCACTTTCGTCCCAGTGCAATTCAAGTGAAGCCTGACCCACCAAAACTACTCCCTCCCACCCCAGTTCTGGTGCTATTGCTCCATGAACTGAAATGCAATCCGTCCACATCAACCACATGAGGTACACATTTAACTCCATGATTTTATCTATCCAGTGCCAGTTTGCCCAGGATTCAAGTCCTGTCAATGTCTCACCTCCACACCTTCCCAAACACTTGATGTTTGTTATGATGACCTGAAATATGTTACTTAGAAGGATAGTGGAACAAACTGAAAAGTAACTTACTTTGGCTAATTCACCTAACCTGCACAGAGGGGAAACCAGAGCACCCAACTGGAACATGGGGAAAACATGCAAACTCTGCACAGACAGTCATCTCAGGCTGCAATCGATCCCAGGTCCTTGATGCTGTGAGGCAGCAGTACTAACCACTGAGCCATCATGCTGCCGGTACTGGATTCAGTCCTGCCTGTTAGCAAGCAAGCTCCAAAAATGAAAAGTTATGAACTGAGATTTTATTACTCAAAAGATAGATGGAGGTGATGCACCACCTAGTGGGTAAATAGTGGAACTGTCACAACCTTCACTGGGTAAACCTCAAAAAAAAATTCTCCTTTTTCTTTTCAGGTGCAAGCCTCAAAAACTGAGGAAAGAGTTAATCTATCTTTTCTTCTTTACTGACCGCCCTGCTGTATATTCACAGAAATTTCTGTTTAAAGCTTCATAAGAACATAAGCTGTTGAAATTCTCTACCTCAGATAAATGTCATGACTCATGACCCTCAGAGAGAAGATTCTTCCTCTTTTTTTAAATGGGTGACCTCTTATTCTCAAATCAAACCCCCAGATCAAATTGCCCCATGATAGGAAACATTATTTCAGTGTCTACCATGTTAATCCCCCAGAATGTTGTCTTTCAATAAGATCACTACTCATTCTTCTGCCAAGTTTAGGTGCAAACGGCTCAATCTTTGCTATTAAGACATCGTCTTCATCCCAGGAAATCAACTTTCTCTGAAGGTGCCTCCAATGCAAATATATTCTTCTTAAATAAGCAGACCAAATAAAACTTCAGCTGGTTTAACTGTTTCCAACCCTACCATCCAATCAAGATGTTAAATTCATATTTAAATGTGTAATCCATGGTTCTTTCTCTGTAATGTAAAATAATGTTGCAGCTGCTGGTGATTACATCATCTAGACTTGGACCGATATCTGACAGTGACGTTCATGTCAAACATGAGAGGCAGTAATCATCTTCAAACAGAGTCTAACCATTTCTCTTTGATACTCAATGGCATTACCATTGCTGAATTCCTCACCAACAATATCCTGAGAGTCACAACTGATCAGGAACTCAACCACACCAGCCATGTAAATGTCTTGTCTAGTAACTTCTATCACAGGTTTGGTATTATCATCATAGAATGATAAGCACAGAAGGATGCCATGTTAGCATGATGACTGCACATGTAAATATTAGCTTAGGTTGTGCACTCCAGATTTCCTTTCTATGTACCAATAATTTAGGAAGAAAGTTGTGGTTTTCAAATATACAAAAGGTGCAGAGTTGAGGATGAGAGACAGTCTTGGCTGTCTTTCCTTGATCTAAACATTAACATTTCAGATTTCACACAAACTTATGGATGGATTCACCGACTGAAACATTTCAACTTGATAATGCTCTTGCAGTTCTCAGGAACGTACGCATATCACAACTGGACAAAGTCATCATGAAATCAAAAACTTTTTCATGCTGATTTTGAAACAGACATTGCACATGTAGATACGTAAAGTCTATATAACTTGTCAAAACTTACCTCGCACTACTTCGATCTTTTTGTCTCCGCTGCTTGCAGTAATACCAGATAAAGAACACCAATAGAATTAAAAATAACACAGTGCCAAAGAATGCAGTCAGAATTGTGGTTATATCAGTCGTAATTCCTGAAAAAGGAGGAGTAAATGAGTATTATTAGCAATATTGAGTTTTGTTTCATTTTACTTACTCTTTTTCATAACTACCATGCAAGATTGTCAGTATGAGCAATAAGACCTATGGTCCAGTGATTTATATGAGCTATGATACCTTTATTCTTAGAGAGAGGTGAAAATGTCAAAACTTAGTCCATTAGACCAATGCAGTACTAAAACCATTTGTTTGTTGATAGCTTTAGGAACTTAAATACAAAACATGAAATATGAGCATCACTGGCAAAGTTGCCAACTATGTTCCAGGTGTCCTTGAGCTTTCTTCCTGAAATACTCTGATCTGCATGAAGAAGAAATTCCTATGGTGCTGTTGAATAGGCAGGTTCAAGATTTAGACCAGATAGAATTAAAGAAGAACTAGGTAGGATACTGTCCAAAGTCTGATAGTGTGTTACATTGACTAATAGTGCTCCCATGCACCTGCTGCCAAAGAGTCATAGTCAGAGTCCTACAGTATGGAGACAGGCCTTTCGGCCCAAACAGGTCATGCCGACCAAACTGTCCATCAATGCTAACCCCATTTCCCTGCACTTGGCCCATATCTTTCTAAACTTTTCCTATCCATGTATTCATCCAAATGCCTTTTAAATGTTGTTAATGTACCTGCCTCAACCACTTCCACTGGCAGCTCATTCCGTATGCGTAAAAAAAGTTGCCCCTCAGGTTCCCATGTATTCTTTCCCCTCTTACCTTAAACTGATGCCCTCTAGTCCTCAATTCTCCAACCACAGGAAAAAGACTGAGTGCATTCACCCTATCCATGGCTTTCATAATCTCACACACTTCTATAAGATTCCCCCCTCAGTCTCCTATGCTCTAAAGAAAGAAGTTCTAGCTTGTTCAACCTCTCCCTATAACTCAGTCCCTTGCCCTTGTCTTTCCAAATATTGGAGGCAGCGGGTTTGTGTAGGACTGCTTATTTAGTCTATTTTTCAAAGTTCAAAAATGTTGTTGCATGTTGTTCTATTCAAATAAAAATTTTAAAAGTTGTGCAATCAGGAAGTAGCAGATAAAGTAATTTAAACCTATTGAGCCACACAGTATGGAAACAATTAAACTGTGCCAACCAGACATCCCAATCTGACCTAGTCCGTTTACCAGCATTTGGCCCATGTCCCTCTAAACCCTTCTTATTCATTTACCCATCCAGATGCCTCATAAATGTTGTAATTGTACCCGCCTCCACCGGTTCTTTTGGTGGCTCATTCCAGATACACACCACCCTCTTGTGAAAAAGTTACCCTTCAGGACCTTTTTAAATCTTTCCCCTCTCACCTTAAATCTATATCGTCTAGTTTTGGACTCACCCACTCTAGGAAAAAGACTTTGGCCAGTCAACCTATCCATATCCCTCATGATTTTATAAGCCTCTATAAGGTCATCCCTTAGTCTCTAACACTCCAGGGAAAAAATGCCCCCGCCTATTAACATAGAACATAACAGCGCAGTACAGGCCCTTCGGCCCTCGATGTTGCGCCGACCTGTGAAACCAATCTGAAGCCCGTCTAACCTAAACTATTCCATTATCATCCATATGTTTATCCAATGACCATTTAAATGCCCTTAAAGTTGGCCAGTCTACTACTTTTGCAGGCAGGGCATTCCACGCCCTTACTACTCAACCTTACTATTCAACCTCTCTCGATAGTTTAAACCCTCCAGTCCCAGTAACATCCTTCTAAATCTTTCCTGCACCCTCTCACATTTAACAAGGGTGACCAGAATTGTACACAGTGTTCCAAAAGTGGCTTCACCAATGTCCTGGACAGTTGCAATATGATGAACCAACTCTTATACTCAATGTTCTGACCAAAGAAAGCAAGCATGCCAAGTGCTTCTTTACCATCCTATCTACCTGTGACTCCATGTTTAAGGAACCATGCACCTGCACCCTAAGTCTCTTTGTTAAGCAACACTCCCCAGGGCCCTACCATTTACTCAAGGGAAATTAAGTATAGGCAACAATTGACGGCCTTACCAGTGATACATACATCTCTGAATGAACTTGAACAGAAAGAAATCACAGAAAGAAAAAGAAATCACAAAACAAAAATTAGCAAAATGTCAGAATACAGATTCAGGTCCTCCTGATGGCTCAAGATGTTTAGCCATCACATAGCAACACACCAAAGACGTTTCAGCTGTGGAACACACCACATTAAGTGATCTCAGTCACAAAGGTGATAAATGCCCTACAATTAACTTCAGCACTCCTGGATTAAAAAGCAGAAAAGTGGAAACTGGACAGAGCTCCAAATCCTAGCCACTATCTAGTGGTCCCTGCTGAAAGCAAGCACATCAGGGAAGACTAAGGTCAAATTTATTGATTATGGTTTATAACACCCACTTAGTCCATGCGAAAAGCCATCAACCAGTCAATTTTTTTTAAAGGTAGGAGAAGAATTGGGAGTTAGTAAGAAAGAGCAAAATCATTGTTTTTTTCGATGTCTATCTGGTTAAGCCTTGCGGTCAATTATTCATCACTTTGCCTCTGTACGCATTAGGACAAGGTTGAAGTTACTTAGCAAAAACAGTTCAGGGACATTCTCAAGTATCCCTGAAGATGTTAAACATACCTGCTGACTCATGAAAGCCCCTGGATTGTGACTGACCAAAATGTAGGCAGCTCATTCAGGAAGGTACTGAATACATTGGTGGCTTTGCTAAAAACATACAAGAGGTGAAGTTGGGTATCAACTGGAGAGTACAAACCTTCAAACAATCCAAGTACCTAATACTCACGCACCACCTGCCCCACATGTGGCAGAGTTTGCCAACCATGTGCTAGACCAATCAGCTATTTCTGAATCCATTTTTTTCTAGAAGAACTCCCAAAGAAGGGCTTCATTTGAGTCACTTCCGATCACAAAATCAGTAATTTAAGTTTAAAAATTATTCAGCTTTTGTTATTCTTTGCCATGATTCCGCAATCTTCAAAAACTTTCGTTTTCCCAACTCAGTAAATTTGAAACATTCCACGTAACTCACTTGCTTTGATCTCACTGCCACAGCCTCTGATATGTAGGAGTACACCTCATACCCTTAAGCAGAGACTTGGCCATTTCCTGAGAGGAGATAGCAGTAAAGCAGAACAGAAGATAGTCAAGTTAACCTTGAGTGATGTCAAGTATGACTATGGTTCCATGAAATTTACTTGATTAATTACTTCAAAAAATAAAGGAGGAATTTCCCCAGAAATTTTCCTGATTTTTTTTCTCTGGTACATATGAAGATACATACGTAGAAATTAGGAGCATAGTAGGATATTCAGCCCCTTGAACCCAATCTCCCATTTAGTAAGGTAATGTCTGGTCTGATTGTGGCCTCAACACAACATTTCAGCCTATCCCAATGACTAACAAGTGACAGAAAAGTTAACAATCTATTTACTTTCTCTTTAAAAAAATATTCACTGACTTTTCTCCACCCATCTGTTACAAAGACTCAACACAAAAACAAAAATGTTTTTGAATCTTCATCTTAAATGGAAGACTCTCCTATTTTTAAAATGTGTCCCTCTGTTTTCATCTTGCATCTTGGGGGAAGTGATGAGTTAGTGGTATTATTGATAAACTATTAATCGAGAGATCCAGGTAATGTCCTGCAGACCCAGGTTCGAATCTTCCCATAGTAGATGGGGGTATTTGAATTGCGAATCCAATGAGGACGATGAAGCATCATCAGTGGTTGGAAAAGCCCATCTGATTCATTAATGCCCTTTAGGGAAGAAAGCTGCCTTGTTATCTAGGATAGCCTACACATGACTCCAGACCCACAGTAATGTTGCTGAATTTTAGCTGCCCTCTGGGCAATTAGGGATTGTCAATGCATGCTGGTCCAGCCAGTGATACCCACATCCTGTGAATGAACAAAAAAAGGGAACAAACATTTTCAGGCTTTGCCGTAAGTCAGCTCACGATCCTAAGTATCTCAATAAATTTACTTATTCTTCTATATGCCGATGCATACAGGAATGAATCTCCTCTGAACTGCTTCTACCATGTTTATTTCCTGTCATAAATAAGGAGACTAAAATTGTGCATAGAACTCCAGAAGTGGTTTTACCCTGATCAACTGGAGTTAAAAAATGCCTACTGTGATATTCAATTCCTCTGTAATCACTTGCTGTACCTGTATAGTAACTTTGTGATTCATGTACCAGGACATTCAGAGCCCTCTGTACATCTGAATTCTGAGATGTCTCTCCATTTAGATAATGTCGTTTTTCGATTCTTCCTGCCATCGGTGCTGTAACTGGCGATGTATAAACTCTTCATTGTACTCATTAAGAATGTGTGCCAATAAAGGCTATTCTATTCTACTCAAAGTGGACAGTTTGACATTTTGTCAGTACACTCAGACTTTTGTCCACTCACAGCTTATTTATATTCCTTGCAGATTCCTTATGTCTTCTTTATTTGCTTTACATCATTGCATTATAAGCAAACTTACAATTAAACATATGGTTACTGTCATCCAAATCATTAATATTAATTATAAGCAGTTGAGGTCCCAGCATTGATCTGTGGTACTCCATTTATCAGATCTTGCCAACTTGAAAATGACCCACTCCTGTTTCCTGTGGTTAAGTAATCCTCTATCCATTCCATTATCGTGTCCCTACACTGTAAGCTCTTATTTTCCACAGTAACCATTGATGTAGCATCTTGTCAAATGGCTTCTGGAAATCCAAGCATAGCAGATCCACATGTTCCCCTTACCCATGATTGCACTGAGATTTGCAAAGTGCTCTCTATATCCTCCATAATAAAAGATTCCAGCATCTTCCCCAGATGTTAAGTTAACTGGCCTGTAGTTTCCTGCTTTCTGTTTCCCTTCCTTTTGAATAGAGGAGTCATATTCACTATTTTTCAACTTGATGAGACCTTTCCAGAACCTAGGGAATTTTGGAAAATCTAAACCAGTGTACCTACTTTTACAGCAGCTTCGTCTTCTAAGGCCCCATGAACAGGCCCATCAAGATCTGGTGACGCGTCAACTGCTGGTTCTAATAATTTTCACTGAATCCTTTCCCTGGTGATTTTAATTGTTTAAGTTTCTCCCTCTGTTTCACCTCTTGATTCACAATCCTTTCTGGGATGTTCTTTGTATCCATTGGACTGAAGGCAGATGTAAAATCTCTGTTCAATTCATCTGCAATTTCCTCTTTTCCATTATTAACCCTCCAGCTTCACCATCTAGAGGACCAAAATTGAATAATGTCTCTTTTCCTTTTTAAAAGTACGTAAAAACTCTTACTATTTGTTTTGATATTTCTAGACAGCTTTCTCCCTCGTGATTAATCTTTTACTCATTCTTTATACTCTGTCCAATCATCTGACCTGTGACTCATCTTTGCAGGATTCTTATTTTTAAATCTGAAATTATCTGCAATTTAATTAGTTAACCCAAGATGGTGGATCCTTCCTTTCAAATTCCACTAATAAGACTGAAATTCAATCACTTTCCCAGCTGAAGAATCTTGTCTGAATTACTGTGGTTTTATAAAATGTTTTCATGGTAACTTCAGCCAGCGCAGGAATTGAGCCCACTGTTGGCATCACTCTGCGTCACAAATTAATTGTCCAGCCAACTGAGTATGTGATAAAGGGACGGTGATAATCATGTGTGATATTAATTCACACAGATTAGACATTTCAGTTTGGCAAAGGTATTCTGAATAATGAGTTTATGGAATGTTTTCGGGACAGTTTCTTAGAGCGTTTCATTTTAGAGCCAACCACCAGAGAACAGGTTATACAAGATTTGATAATGTGCAATGAGACAGAATTAATTAATTCATTCATTCATAGTGAAGGTGCGTCTAGGAAAAAATGATCATTATACAATTAAGTATCAAATTCAGTCTGAGGGAGAGTGGACCTAAGACTAACATTTTAAATTTAAATAGGAGCATTGTGAAGGTGTGAAAACAATAACTTGTTTCTCACTGGAATTTATTTTTATTTTCCAAGTAGTCCGAAATATCTCAAGTCTGACATTTCACCTCCCAAAACTTAATCGCTCAGTTTCCTTTTGCAAGTTCTTGTTTTCACACCTTCACAATGCTCCTATTTAAATTTAAAATGTTAGTCTTAGGTCCACTCTCCCTCAGACTGAATTTAATACTTAATTGTATAATGATCATTTCTTCCTAGACGCACCTTCACTATGAATGAATGAATGAATTAATTCTGTCTCATTGCACATTATCAAATCTAGTATAACCTGTTCTCTGGTGGTTGGCTCTAAAATGAAACGCTCTAAGAAACTGTCCCGAAAACATTCCATAAACTCATTATTCAGAATACCTTTGCCAAACTGAAATGTCTAATCTGTGTGAATTAATATCACACATGATTATCACCGTCCCTTTATCACATACTCAGTTGGCTGGACAATTAATTTGTGACGCAGAGTGATGCCAACAGTGTGGGCTCAATTCCTGCGCTGGCTGAAGTTACCATGAAGACATTTTGTAAAACCACAGTAATTCAGACAAGATTCTTCAGCTGGGAAAGTGATTGAATTTCAGTCTTATCAATGGAATTTGAATAGATGTTGTCTTATTCAGTAAAATAGTGTAGAAATGTTCAGAGTAGGGACTGTATATTTCATCTTAGAAGCAATCTCTTGTTTAAAACACACTTACAGACAGCAAGTGAACAGAAGGAATTTGAATTGCAGCTATAAGATAAGTTTTTTCCTTCACAGATGCTGTCACACCTCCTGGGCTTTTCCAGCAACATTGTATTTGTAGCCTGCACATCCCTGGATACTATGAGCAATACAGCAGGGCCAATCCACCCAACCTGCACATCTTTTGGACTGTAGGAGGAAATCAGAGTACCCAGAGGAAACCCATGCAGATACAGGGAAAATGCACAAACTCCATACAGTTACCCAAGGCTGGAATCAAATCCGCATCCCCGGCACTGTGAGGCAGCAATGCTAACCATTGAGCCACTATGCCACCAAAACTACTACATTTTCTAAATTACAAGTGACTAAATTTCAAATTTGAATGTTCGTGACCTAGGAGGACAAAAAGGATTGATCAACACCCCAACAATCCATGAACAGAGAGAGGGAAGATGTTGAAATAGTGTTTCAAAAGTTAAAAGAATTTGAAAATTTACTTAAGCAATAACACAGTCCAGATATAGTAGTTTCAGTACAAAAGGAGAAACACAACTTTTGCACATGAACAGAAAAGCATTGATTCTTTGTCAATACAATCAAGTGTTTGAAAATCATGTGGTAAGGACCTTTTTTTAACATTTGTATTTTGCATACAAGTAACCTTCAAACAATGCTTCAAAATTCCAAACAAATGTTTTATTGTCAATGCACTTTTCTACAACTGTCGATTTGGGTTATACTTTTAAGTGTGGGGAACCAAAACTACCATCGACATATCAATTCAAGGGAGCCATAAATAAGTACAATAATGAATTCAGGACAAGTGTCTTTAACCAGAGTTAGAATGTGAAATGCTCTACCACAAGCCGTAGTTGCATTCAAGGGAAAGCTTGATTTGGCTGTGTGTATGCGCACGCACAGGTGGGAGGGTGAAGTGATTACATAATTTTGTGCCTCTTATTATAAATTGAAACACACTTCATATCATGGGGGCACATCAAGGTCCAAAAACAGGATCTAGGGCTCTGGCGGGACCACTGTGCTTGTGCTCATGTCAGGGTGCTCAGGTGGGATATCCGGGCCAGGAGAAGCTCTTGGGCTTGTGATTTCTGTTCCTGCCTTGGACCATAGCAAAGCACATTTGTAATAAAAAAAAAGTCATACCTGGTTTGGCGTAAGGGCCCTTTGTTGTGTAATGTTTCCAAAAGATACTCTAAAAGAAAATCATGATTTTTAGAAAGGGCCAGCCTTTTCCTTGTAACAGGATATGCAATTAAAGCTTTCATCTTGCTCAGTAAATGTACAATCTTATTCAATCCTATAAATTACTGTTTGCAATCAGTTCTTTCCAAATGATACTTTCTGTCCACTGATGGGAATTTGCAATATGTACGTGATGGACAAGGGCTTGATTGAATTTGGATTGACATTCCCATGGTTAAACAGTCTGTTGACACTGCTTTCCAGACTCTTAACACCTGTTTGGTGGTACACAACTTGAGTAATGATGAAAAAAAGACACATTTTGTGAAGCTAATCAGCTTGCACTTGTTCAGACATTCACAAGAATGCCAATGCAACATTTTATATTTTATGAGAGGTCAATTCTAATTGGTTGGTAAGTGGATCAAATAAGTACTGAAAATGCACCAGTTAGATGATGACTAACAGTTAACTGGTAGGCTTTATTTAAAATCAGGCAGATTGACTCCAGTTGGTCAAGGCATTGCCCATCAGTTCTAACAATTCAAAACATCTATACAAACTCTTACAGTGTGAAGATTTAATAAATGAAAGGTCTTTTGCTAGGATAATTGTTTTCTTAAACTGAAAAGCTGATTATTTTCTGGAAGACGTGATAGTTAAGAGAGATTTGTTCTGTATTGTTTCTCTTGCTCAGGTGTTGCCACTGTTGGTACCAGGATGTCTGCTTCAGAAACAGAGGGTAAACAGCTTTGCGTTCCAAGTTTCTTTTAAATTAACAAAAGAAGCACGAGTGGGTGGAGTCAGGATCCCATGGACTTTGGGTTTTAGTTTTGCTTTCAATTGAGGTTTGGAGTTGGCTGTTGAAGTGGTTGGATATAGCTCTCTCTCTGCTGTTACAAAAAGCTTGAATTCTTTCTCTGCTGCTAGATTGTTTCTTTCAGTGTTCCTTTCTTCTAGGCTGGAGGAGATAACACATTTGCTAAGGGTGCGTTTATGGAGTGCTGTATATTGGAACAGTTGATGATCAGCAGTTAAATAATATATTATTTTATCAATTATTTCAATAGAGTTAAAGTTATACCAATTCATTTTATTCATTTTTCTTTTATCTCTGTTACAGAAATAAGTGTTTTGCTTTAAGCATAGGAGTGGACCAATCAAATCACATTTGGAACACATAGTGCTTTACATTAGCCTATAAATAAAATAAAAAAAGTTAGGGTCTAGGCTATCTCCCTAATATATTTTGAGGGGGTTTGGTCTGGTTCATAACAAGGAAAACTATTCACCTAAACGGAACTTCTGAACTGGAATTCAAAACTAAACTAGCAGCATCTAGTCTGATGCATTTTATGAGAAACAGGTCTTTGATAGAATAATGCAGCCTCCTACCCTTTCGTATTTGTGACATTTAGAGAATGTATTTACTTTATTTGATGCTGCAGTTTTAAGTAAGAATTTACTTAGACGTTTTAATGGGCTCCATCGCCTATTCAGACTCACTTCAAGTAGAGCAGTCAAATTAGCTCCTTTTCCTTGACTTGCTCATTAGGAAATTTGCCAAGGTTCACTATAACTGTTTACCTCAGGCTGATCTTCACTGGTCCATATACGCATTGGGAATCCTACAGTTTTGACATGTTTGAGAGTGCTGAGCCTAGAGTGGATCCCATGGCAATACTATCTATTTGGGTATAAATGGACTAGAAGATTGACCTTATCAAGAACCTCATAAATAGGTCCCAAGCTTAATTGCTCACCATGCAAGCTGGATGCTGAAATAAGATGTTTTAAAGATATCCTGTGAAATAAAAAGTTACCCCGGTCAGAATTTCTTACTGTATCATACAAACTCATGAACAGGCATAAGGGTACCATCTTCAGTCCTGAAACTGCCCTGCCTACCTCAGATTATCCCAGAAGGATAAGATAACTAAAAGATTTGAGCAACAGGTGATGCTAACTGTTTCATGCTGTTACTACACAGCATCAACACATCGGCCACTAACAGTATCCCACCTTCAAACCAAAAAGATGCTGTATTACATAAATAAGTAGTGTATGAATTTCAATGTTGGTGTGATGCTAGGAACATAAGCCGTACAGTCCACTAGACTTTGAAACATATCAAACAGCAGGTCTCTTTATCTGCTGATAAAGGCAATGTGCTGACCATACCCAACCACCCTGTGCTTGCAAAATTCAAGACAGTGTCCAACATTAGACGTGATTCCAGGATTGGACAACATTTGCTAAATTATCTTGAATGTGGTAAGAATTATGCTGAAAAGCAATTCAAGGTGGTCAGTCAAGCTTGCAAGCTGATGTACTTGCACATATACACAAGGCACTGTTCTTGGCAGACAGAAGTATATTGCCCCTTTTTCAACTTAACAAATTGCGCATCAGCTATTCTGATTCATCCCTCAGGGAATTCCCTGATTGATATAAATTCAGACAAAACTTGCCACTGAAGTGTCATTCATCATTTAATTTGGACATTCTCTAAGGCAGCATCCATTCAACCTATCAGCACACCGTTCTCATACAGCAGAAAATGTTGTTCCCCTTTACATTGGCATTCTTGTAAATTGTCATGACAAACACAAGACAAAAAGCATTGACAAAATGTGTTTTTTTTTCAATAATACTCTTTAGAGCATTTAAGCAGAGTATTGTAAGACAGCAGCAAATTAATGATATACATTGGCACATGTTCACTTCAGGAAATAAGAAGGGGGATACAATCCATCAATTTTTATAAGTATTAATTTAATAATTCTTTAACCAAATAAATAAAACCAAAGAGCTGCAGATGCTGTAAATCAGAGACAAAAATAGAAATTGCTGGTAAAGCTCAGCAGATCTGGTAGCATCTGCGGACAGAGATCAGAGTTAAAGTTTCGGGTCGAGTGACCCTTCCTCAGAACTTCTATTTTTGTCTCTGAACCAAGTAAGTAGTATTGATAGTGATATAGCTTTATATAATGTAAATAATTTAGACCAGTCACTATATAAGGGGAAATACTCAACTGTCTTCCGATCGTCTTCAAAAACTTCACGTGCCTCTTCAAAACTACATATTTCTTCGATACATTCTCGTTCAAGATTTCCTCGAGTAAAAATTTCAAAATCCCATCGATTGTACAGAAGATGTCGTCCCAGGAAATTTCGAGCTTCATTTCCCTTAATAAATGCTGTCAAATTCAAAATAAAATCAAATCAGCATGAGCAGAGAGTAAAATGCTAATACACGCATACAACTGTTGAAGCTTACAACCAGCAAGAGTCATGTTACCCGTATCTGTGCTAGCACTTTGTGAAGGAGCAATCTAAAACAAATCCAGTGCTTGGCTCTCCCTGACTGCAATTTATCTTCTCTTGCTGAACTATTTATCTAATTTTCCCTGCTCCAACCAGTCCGTATTTGAAAGCATCTTTCCTCTAACAACCCTCAATTTCTTCTGACCTGTGAGGTCATTGTTTTAAACAAATTCTCTCTCATTTCTGACTCCCCAGAAACCTCTCACTATTCATTCCAAGAGTTTTTTTTCTAGGGAAGGAATGTGGAAATGATCCAATTAAATATTCAAGATTATGGAGGTAAACTGACAAAGTTAACCCAAGCTCCAATCAAGTATTCAAATAAGTTGAGCAAGTTAGCACTCAGAGGGTGGATATACAAATCTTATTCACCACCAAAAGGTTAATAGTCACTGAAGCATTAAACAGGCCATTCTAGAAAGGATAAACTAAAACATACAGTGATAGACAGGTAAATGAGATAATATATAAATGGTGTATTTATGTTCTGAAAAATACATCCCTAACAGTACAGTTGAAAATATCTGTCCAGTGTCCCAAGTCTCGATTGTATCTCTTACATTTAGAAAAGAAGCACCTGAATGTGAAGGTGTGCTGTGGTTTACACCTTTAATTCCCTAGATGTTAAGCTCCAAATTTCAACCATTCAAGAGAAATTTCTGGGCAACGATAACCCAGAATGTGGACCAATTAACATATCCTTTCTCCTTGCAGCATCATGCCTGTTGGCAATTAATATCTTATCACAGTCCCTCCTTTGTTCTCCCATTCAACTTTCCTGCCTCTGTACCTAATTTATTCCATTTTAGGGTGAAAAGTCTATTTGATCTGAAATATTTACTCTCTCCACATATGCTGCCTGAAGTGCTGAGCATATCCCAAATGTTAGATAACAAGGTGTAGAGCTGGATGAACACAGCAGGTCAAGCAGCATCATGGGAGCAGGAAGGCTGACGTTTCGGGAAGGGTCTAGGCCCGAAACGTCAGCCTTCCTGCTCCTATGATGCTGTTTGACCTGCTGTGTTCATCCAGCTCTACACCTTGTTATCTCAGATTC